TTTGTCAGTTGTTCGTGATACTTTTTAGAATTAAAAGAGACTTTGATATTGTAAATGGAGATCAAAAGATTTAGGAGTTATTTTTCTCGATGAAATGTTTCAAAAATGTAATGATTAATAGTTTTTCTACTTTTCATTTTGAAGAGTTCTTGAATATGTTGCGTCTGGTCGTGATAAAGATGTTGTGGATCCCGATAAAAATCTGATATACACGCATCGAAAGGCGAGACAAGAACAACTCGCTCAAAGTGATGCGATGCCTGAGGAAAGTACTGTTAAATTTCCATTGGTGGTACCAACTTACAGGAAACAAAATTTGGAAAATGTCCAAGTGGCTCATATGCAAGTTACCAGTTACAGTTCACAGAGTCTAATTTTCAAGTTTTCTGTAATATTGACTCAGTGCCTAGAGTGGACTGTAATGATGAACAAAATGCTATTTCCGTATATCCTCCATTCCCTTTGCAACAATCTGAGCAGTATGAAAAGCCAGATGATTTAAGCAGCAACCAGGAAGCACTCCTGGATCATTTGATTGTTGATGAGGCAAAGCTTAATACCATAGAGAAGAAAACAAGTGAACAAGCAGCCTCACAGGAATGGCAGGCTGAAAGGAAATTTCGGTATACAGCATCTAATTTCCACACAATTGTAAAAAGGCAAAGGAATCATAACACTCTAGTAAATAATCTGCTTCATCGCAAACCATTCACTGCCAAACAAACTGCACATGGGAAAACCTATGAGCCTGTAGCCTTAAGAGAATATGAAAAATATATGTTTTCAACAAGGAACCCAGTTTCAGTGTTAAAAAGTGGCCTTGTTGTCAGTATGGCCTCTCCCTTTTTAGCAGCATCACCAGATGGCAAGGTCATTGACCGAGGCTGTAGCAAGCCTGTTGGGCTGGTAGAGGTTAAAGGTCCCTACTCTAAATTTCATGTGAGTCCTTTAGAAGCATGTGCCAATGAAACTTTTTATGCAGAAAATGTAAATGGAAAGCCGAGGCTAAAAAGGGGGCACCAGTACTACTTTCAGATACAGGGTCAACTAGGTATTACAGGAGCAAGTTGGTGTGACTTTGTTATCTATACTAACAAAGGCATGAGTATAGAGAGGATCACATCTGATCCTCAATTCTGGGACGTATACAATACAAGCTGAACTTACAGAGTTTCATCATAACAGCAAGCACATGATTGCAAAAACCAACAGATACACGAAGCATATTTAACAACTCCACTCACTAAACAAAGTGCAACTTGTAATTTGTGGGGTGGCTCATTTTTTTTAAAGCTATGGTAACACAAGCATTTGAAATAGAAATATTGGTCATCACTTGCGCAAGTTAAGTCTTTCAGGTATTCATCATCAAGAAATGTTTTTGCCTTTTTCATGCTTGTTGGAACAGCATGGTTCTGCTTATTTCTGTCAAAGTTTTTTCCAGATTTAGAAATATGTAAATCCATCTCTGCCCTTGTGAATAATGGCATTCGTTGCAAACTTGTAGACCATCCAGCTGATGGAAATTTAACAGTACTTTCCTCAGGCATCACATCACTTTGAGCGAGTTGTTCTTGTCTCGCCCTTCGACACATGTATATCAGATTTTTATCGGGATCCACAACATCTTTATCATGAATCTGAGTTTTACTATATATTCCAATTGTTATCGTGAAGCTACAGAAGAGTTAATTCTAATTTTGAAGCTAAGTAATGCAATTTAGAAATCAAGCAATTCATCTACCATTATGTAACTGTCTACGAAAAGTTTTCAACAAAAATGGTCTGGTGGTCAAAACTGGATATGCCAATAGGGTAAACTTGATGTCTCATTTAACTGAACAGAAAGATAAATCTACACAGAGGGGAAAACAAGGAAATTGTCTCAAAAAATGCCAGTAAAGAACCAACCAATATTAACACTTTTGCTTTCATGAGCTACAAATGATAGAAGGAATTTGGATTGGATTATTCACCTCATGCCCTCACAATTTACCTTTACAGTAGTCATGATTAGTCGACTCTTTCCTGAAATGCTTGTGAGGTTGATCTGTACTGACAGGTGCTGGTCTCTTACCCCTCCCTGGTATAGTTGCCCTAATTTCTGAAAAACATACATGCACCAAAATAAATTAATGACGATTGCCAACAGCATGCAGTGGCAAGTAGATCATGCTTGATTGTCTTAGTAGTAGTGAAGGAACCACATATATCATTAGAATATACTGAATTTCTCATGTAAAATAAGTTCTCATAGACTTAATAAATTAAAAATTTGATATTGGTAAAATCAAGTAAGATCCTCATGTCATAACTTTTAAAATCAGATTCTGCCTCTAGTTCCCTTCTCTTACTTGACATAACTCTTTGTTTGAAGAAAAAAGTTGTTACGAAAGACGAATGCTGCTATCTTAATCTACATTCATAAAGAGAAAGGATCAGAGAATAAAGAAAGAGTTCTCTAGAGTAAATATCAGAAAACCAGTGAAATGGATCAACAAAACAAACAGTACATGTACAAGTTAGAGAGGTCTGTTCACATCACAGATATATCAAAACAGTCAGTTCTGCAAGCTTTTATGAAATGATAATTCATATATACATGTGCAGCTTGTAGCTGTATAGGAGTTAAACACACTTGGAGAATGCACTCAGTTATAGTATTTAAAATATCTTGTTTGCAAATTTCATAGATAGGCCAATTTTTAAATGTGTTATGTTCTGATCTATACCTTGCAAGGGCTGAAGGCTGAGGTAGTGTACTTCATGGACATGTCCCAGCACAAGATGCTTGCTTTGGTGAAATGGACAATCTGGCTTGATAATTACCTCACTATGGCCTGGAAGACTACTAATCACATGAATGGCTATTTGATAACAGTTTGCTGCAGCCCAGAGAATCACATGATCACCCCAAGTGCCATCTTGTTCCATGTCTGTTAAGTAATCACCCCACGTTGTGTGTCTATCAACAAAGTGAAACAGATCTGTTCCATCCACCTTTAAGAGAAAGTCCAACAAGATAACATGTAATATTAATAGCAATAGAGCGACTTGTAATGATTCAGTATGGTAATATTTTCATATAATAGGTATTACCTTCAAAAGTATTCACAGATGAATACAAGACTCTTTAGTAACTAGGCGCAATAGTCCTTAATAGTACTCCCTGTATACGTTGGATTGAGTAATTTTTACGACTAACATCATGATATATAATCTTTAAAGTTCTAATAGCAAAAAACGATTAATCTAAATGAATGATTATAAACAAATTCATTAGCATTATACTTGCCACAGTTGTTCTAAAAAAACATAGCAATAAGTTAAAACAAAAAAGAAGGACATTGTTATGAAACAAAGACAAGTTGTCCTTTCTAATTGTGTCAACTTCAACTTCATGTATCATACATGTACACTGAAGACCTTGAAGATGTTCTAATAATAATTGCTCACATTTCACTTGAATGTGGAGCAGAAGATACATTTGTAGTATCTGTCCTAAACATTACATGTATTTTACCAAATATACTCACCTGTTTTGGGTGCTCTCTTAGATACTGAACTAAGGACCGCCTCAATTCAAAATGATGGATCTTTACTCCTTTGACAGTCTCCAGTTGCTCTGACAAGGCATAGAACATACAATTCCCTGACCCTTGATTGTCAGAAATTTTATAGCCCTTTTCTGAAGCAATCTTCTCTAAGTCTGAGAGTGGGTCTGTGTTGCTGCTGATCTTATATCTACTGGCATTCTGTTGCCACTGTTGAAGGTTACAGATGACTTGTTCATTCCCACCTAAAAGAAAAACAACTTAATGATGATTACTTTATTCTTATACATGTACATAACAGGTTGCTGACAAAATCATGGCATATGGCGTAAGAGTAAAACAGAAAGAACTACACAGGTTGAGAATTGAATATTTGGGAACAGAGGGAACAAGAGGATTTTAATGAAGGGGGTAAGTTTCTAAAGCAACTTTGCTGCTGCATTGAAAGAAGAGTATAACAGGGTAATTAAGTATTATCAACTGAGTTGATAACATAAAATGGCCTCTGTAAAGGCTTTTAAAGCCGACATTTTGTACAGGTTTCCCTGTTTTGAGCATCATTCACACAAAAGACTTGGCATGGAACTCTGACCCTGTTATACTCATCCTTCATTTTTTTCCTTATAATCTAAAAAAGGTCAATCTAAATTAAGACACCAACCAAGTTGACCATGCTTGTTCAACGTTCAACAGTAGCTGCTTTACATGTATGTCTTGGGTAAAATAACTACAGAAAGTATTTCCCATGCAAATGCACTTTACCAAGTACATATTTCAAAACTCTGAAACACTGTTCCTGACCTTGTAGGTAAGATTATTACATAACAATTAAGTTCACCTTTCCTGAGTATTTACTGTAGGCGCAAGAATTTGGATTATCATTTTTTGTTAGTGTTGGTGTTTCATAGTTTCGTGTTAGGTGTTTATTTTCTCGTCTTCCATTAGTGTCCTTTGTCAGTTACCAGTTTTGTACTTGTTATATTTATTTGCATATCGTATATATATTGGTTGCGCGTAATTTATTTGGTTAGTTGTCTAGTTTGCGAAAATTGTCGTTACATACCTAGCTCTGGGATGTTTTCGCTTTGGTTTGGTCACATTCGTCTTGTAAGTATCCTTGTTTATTTCGCTTTGTCGTTTTCCAGTACTTTCATCATACGATGTAAGTTACTTTATGCTCATTCGCGTGATTGTAATTTTGTCATTTTCAGTTACCGTATTCAACAATGTGTCAAGTTTGTTCTAGTAAAGTTTGAAATACGAGTGATTAGCGTTTGCGGCTATATTTACTATTTTAAACTATTTGTTTGATTCAGGTCTATAAAAAAATTATGGTAACCATAGGTCCAAGCTGACCCAAGGCTGATTCAACTTTTTACCAGTACACCTGGTTTATCAGTTATTAGACAAGTTAAGGCTGTAACATTTAAATTAAAGTAAATTTACCAAAGACAAGGTTCCTCATCTTTATCACAAGACTCTTACAAGGCTCCTCCCAGCTATACTTCTTCAAGTACTCTTCACGTAGCAATCTTGACTCTGAAAGTCGCACTTCTCTCTCTTTCTGACGGACACACTTGATTTCTTTGGCCCAGTCTTTAGAATCTTCAGAGTCTACAACACTCTGAGAGCCTAATGGCACTTTCCTCAGAGCTTCTCCAAGTCCTGAATTACCACTGACAAGTACAGGCAGACCAGCAGATAACGCCTCCAGAGCTGTTATTCCAAAACCTTCCGTTCTGGATGGCATTATTGCAAGATCCACTTCACAGAATAAGTTTGCCAGCACTTCTCTGCTATCATCAAAGCTGCGAACAATAAGCTGATTACGTTTAATGCCATGGTGGAGCAACTTTTCTGCCACAATATCTCCTTTTCCTCCAGCTGTGCAGACAAATTTGAGTTTGTAGGATTCATCTTTCAACTCAGCAATTGCTTTGGCAGCTATATCGTACCCTTTGACATTGAAATCTTCACAGCTGTCACCACTTCCAATTACCAGAATACAGAATTTTCTTCTCTCTTCTGTGGCTTGCTCTACTTCCAAAAATTCAGAGAAAATGCTTGGAGTAAGGTCAAAAATATTTTCCTGTTGTTTAACTGGATAAAGGTGGCGCCTGTAAGCTTCTGCCAGCTTGGGTCCAATAGTGATAACTTGATCAGCCATTTTACAGAGTTGGATTTCTGTTTTTTGCATTTTTTCACCTTCTGAAATGATTTTGTACATTCCATCTTCTTCAGGAGCAGAATGAACAACTTGGATCCACTTGCAATGACTGTAAATTGGATTTCTCTTGATGAGTGCAATTGGTCGGCCAAGGTGAACTCCATGACCAATGACACAGTCCATCGTATGGTTTCTTGGAGGAGATGACAGGCAAAGAACTGGCTCTACACCAGGAACTCCACCTGCTTCAATGAGCTTCACATTGTGACCTTTAGCACTGCTCCTGTCCTCTCTGCTGCAATTTGGAAGCAAGACACTAACATCCACACTGGGGTGTTTAGCTAACTGGATGGCTAGCTCTCGGTTGATAGTTGACAAGTCCCCATCAGTTGATGATCTCCACTCACTACTTAGCAAAGTGACTTTCAGTGTCCTACTTCCCTGGTCTTCCTGTGATGTAGAGGCTACACTAGGAATGGTGGAATCCTACAACAACAAAACAAGAATGATATTGACAATAAGCTGTAAAACAATAATAAATCACAATCATAATGGATGTCCACTCCATATGTCAAGTCAATTCTTTTGTAAAATTGCCGTTGAGTTTTATCCTATGCCAAAATGTCAGATTCATGTAGATTGAGACAAAGTTAAACCAGGAAAACGTTAAGTTGCTTTAGAGATCTATACTATCACTGTCACTGATAACAACCATTACAGTACAACCATTACAAGGAAAGTGAAAATTATCCTTTAAGGGTCTTCCTCTTCAACTCACTTTGAAATTGGTACGTATAGTTTCATTGCAGACATTTAGGTGAAAAAATAAGAGGATAAATTAATGTTTTTGTCAAAATCAAAGGTTGGTATTTGTAAAAGATTTAGATTCCTCTTACTACCTTTTGTAGCCTTGACATCACAGGAAGCTTTTAATTTTGAAAAATTATGCTGGAAAAAAAACAATACAAAATGTGAGTTTACTGAGTCTATTTAAAAAGCTTTCTATTTCCTCTTAGAGTGTTGTCAAGACCACTTAACCCTTTAACCCCTAAGACCCAATTTTTAATTCTCATCTCTAGCTGGTATACATTTCCTTGTGAATTAGTTTGGAGAATTTGCTGTTGGATGAAGACAACAACTTCAACCTGATAAGTTGGAGAATTCTCATGAACTTTTTGCTGTATAATGTATGGATATGATAAGGAGAAGTTACATGTTAAACCCTAAGCAGATATCCTCTATGGCTTGCTTGGAAAGATATGGGAAGAGGAGGAGATGCCCCAAGACTGGAACGAGAGCTACATTGTAAAACTGCCAAAGAAAGGTGACCGCCGGGAGTGCAAGAATTACAGAGGTATATCCTTGATGTCAGCGGCAGGGAAGGTGCTGAACAGAATTATCTTGCTTCGTCTTCAGGGGGCTGTGGATGCTACACTGAGAGATCAGCAGGCTGGCTTCAGGAAGGACCACTCCTGTATCGACCAAATAGCCACACATAGGATAATCATTGAGCAGTCATTTGAATGGAACACTTCTCTTTACGTTAATTTCATCGACTTTGAAAAGGCTTTTGATAGCCTTGATAGAAGTGTTCTTTGCTGCCTTATGAGACACTATGGCATACCGGGGAAATTCATTCGAATCATCAAAAATTCCTATGATAAGATGACTTGCAGAGTCCTTCATGCTAGTGGATTGTCAGATAGCTTCACGGTCAACACTGGGGTCAAGCAAGGTTGTTTGATGGCACCGTTTTTGTTTCTACTTGCTATGGACTGGATCATGAAGGAAACAACTAGAGAACAGCGAAATGGGATCCAGTGGAACTTATTGGAGCAACTTGAAGATCTAGAGTTTGCTGATGATATCGCCCTGGTGTCAAGTAACAACCAACAAATGCAGGACAAAACAGCACGGCTAACAGCTAATTCCATCAAGTTAGGCCTGCATCCGAATGTGAATAAGACCAAGGTTATGAAGGTCAACTGCACCAACAACAGACCAGTTAAAGTGAGGGATACCATCTTGGAGGAAGTAACATCTTTTGTCTACCTAGGCAGTGTAGTCAGCATTGATGGAGGTTCCGATGAAGATATCAAGGTCAGGATAAACAAAGCCAGAGTAGCTTTCAATACGCTGAGGAAAGTGTGGTCCTCCCATGTCATCTCACGGAGAACCAAATTTAGAATTTTTAACACCAATGTCAAAGCAGTCCTCCTCTATGGCTCAGAAACGTGGAGAACAACTAAGCAAACGTCCCAGAAATTGCAGACCTTCGTCAATAAGTGCCTTAGGCGAATTTTAAAAATCAGTTGGACTGACAGGGTAACGAACGAGATGCTGTGGGAATTAGCAGGCGAGGAACCAATCATAACTCAGATCTCAAAGAGAAAGTGGAGATGGATAGGTCACATCCTAAGGAAACCGGCTAACAACATCACCCGGCAGGCATTACGTTGGAACCCCCAGGGCAAGAGAAAGAGGGGTCGTCCCAGGAACTCCTGGAGAAGAGGTGTAGAGTCCCAAATGAGAAACTGGGGCCACACTTGGGCCACTTTAGGAAGTTTTGCCCAGGACAGAACCCGATGGAGGACGGAAGTGGTTAATGGCCTATGCTCCAACCGGAGCTAAGGGAATATATATACATGTTAATCACTTCTGGGAGTTAAAGGGTTAAGGCAGTAGCAGAAGCTAACTTGACCTTTTTGGGAAGCCTTCATTTTCTCATATATTTGGGATCATCATTTAAGTTGCCAATTTGTAAAATGTGACAATTGGAAAACGGCCCACTTTCAAAATTAGAAATATTGTTTCCAAGGACAAATCTTGTAGCAAATAGAGATAAGATCCTGTTCTAATGGTGTTTGCTGTTCATGGGGTATTTCCTTTAGATGACATTTCTGATGCATCCATTTCCTCAGTAACAATGTGATAACTAAAAACAAAGCACTAACTGATCATGGATTGAACTCAGGAAAGAGCTCTACAGTAGCTGACTACTTACACTTTCCAAGCAATGAAAACACAAATATATTTTTTTACCCTTTTATTATACGAATTTTGATATTTCCCATTTTTGGAATGCATTGCAACCATAAGCAAGCAAACAACCACACATTTTATTTTGTCACACCATGTTAGATTGAAAGTTGCTAATTCCCACACCATGTCATATTTTTGTGGTTCCTGGTAACGAGGAACATTTACAGTACAGTATACCATGGTCCGTGAAATCTTCCAAATGAGAAGGTATGGGATTGTAAAATTGTCAAAATTGAATATTACTCAGCAAACTGCTCTGAAAATCTTTATCACCATCATCTTTGTGCATGTGCCAAACCATTTTGAGTAGTACTAAAAATTGGCTTGGATTTAGAGAAGTTTTTTCTCCAAAATGGCCTTTTAAAAACACCCCCTGTTTTCATGAAATTCCACAAATTCCAAGGCACTGAGCAAAATAAAAGTTTTTTCCCAGATATGTGTAAAAAATCATATATCCTTTGTGACAATTTCAGGCCATTCCTGCAAATCTGTCAGTAAATTTTTCATTAATGATTTGAGACAATATTTACTGAGTTTAGTGTTTGGTACCACCTTAATTTGGTTTTGGAAATGTACCTCAAAGTAGGCACTGTACAATGAATTATTTCCTCTCAAATACAGACATGTAAGAACAATTTCAATGAAATCAGAACATACCAATAGCAAGTCATCTGACCACCTCCTTCTTCATACATCCTAAACAGATAGAGAAAATAAAAGAATGAATGTTTAAATACATCACCTATTCTGCATTTGGAAAGGCATGTTATAAAAGTCAGAGATTGTGGAAAGAGAGCCATTTATGTTTATGATAAGAAAAAATTATCAAGATTTTCAATGAAATAAATTTCTTTTTGACCTGTGGATGAAATTCAATTGCAGAAATGATCCTTAAAGGTACTACCTTGTAATTTAAGCAATTGCAGAGATCAGGATTCTACTGAAACCGATAAAAGACAACCCCAATATATATTTGAAATCCAAAACATAGTTTATTGTAGTTTAAAAGTTTTTCAAGTCTAACAATTATGAATCCTGATTGAAATGCTGGATTCGCAAATAATTTTGAAAACCCAAAAATACTTTGTGATCCAATAATTTTTGTCATGAAATGCAAAAAATGTTTGAAATTGAAGTTTAATCATTTCCTGCAGAATATGCTCTGAATGAACTTCACTTCTCCTTTAAAACTTCAACTGACTGAGCCTTCTTTTCAAAGTCCTCAGTAATGCTTTAATCAATTTAAAGTTTCAACATTCCTCCTGCCCCCCCTGACAACTCCTCAAGCATTTGCACTTTTGAAAACTTCATACCTTTAAACACCTCCATACTAAAAAATAAAACATGTCTATTTTGCAGGAAAGACTTGACAGTTCTGGTTCAAATTCCTCACCCCATCCAGGCAAGATTCAAATTCCCCAACCCTCCCAGGGGAGAAAAGGAAACATTTTTGGCCTGTTATGGCTCAATAAGAAATTAGGAATCTGCTTTTTACCAACAAACCTAATGACATAATAGCATTCTAAAACTAGGAGACATATCTCTATATTTGTGGAGTGGTTGGACACTAACATCCATAGAGGCTGGATCATTTAAAAAGGTTATTAAGTGATTTCAGCAATGTGAAGGGTGTGAAAAAATTACTAATAAAAAAGATTGAGAAAATGAGAACTGCAAATGCACTTAAAAACATAAAATGGACAATGAATATGTCTGAGATAAAGGAACATCCGTAACCAATGTCATGAAAAACCTTCTCTCATCAAACCCAAAAATAATGTTACAAAGTGCATGATTACATGTGTTAATTGAGCTAAAATATATTTACATGTTTGCCTTATCCATTGAGTTAGTAGTGAAAAAAGATTTTTTTTACATGAGCCCTTCCTAAATTCTGAGTGACACATGAACAGCAACCAGGGCACTTTCTTAACCCTTTACACCCAAACATCATTATGCATATTCTCCATACTGTTCTCTATACATTTCTTATGGTGCTAACAAGGAGAATTTATTTAAAAATCAAGAGCGTCTTTGGATGGTGGTCATTTTCTTTATTCTCATAACCTCAATGTGTGATTCAGGGGTGATATTGTAAGGAGAATTTAGATGCTAGTCACCCTTAGGGGTTCAAGGGTTAAGGCAGGAAGAGAGAAAGGACCCTAGAAACAAGGTTGGGTCTTTCATTCCTGTAAAGGGATCTGATCACAATTTTTGATATGATGTTTTATTCAAAATATTTTGGTTTGAAAATAAAATCTAAGAAATGTGAGCCAGTGTAAGTCAGATATTAATCAGCTAAAAAAAACACTGAGTAAAACCCTCAAAGATTGTGAAAAAGTTACCTTGTCAAGCACCTGAGAAACATATTAAAAAACAAGTTATTTCTGTAGAGGTTTAGCTCAAGAGTACAATTTAACTTTGAACATGGACATCTGTTCTGGAATTGTTCCAAATATTTCTCACACTGAGACAATCACAGTTTGTAACACAACCCAGAAGTTTATTCACTCTGCCTTCTACTTCAGGAGTGAACTGCTGATTATGGAAAATAAATTCATATTTTAAATGAACAGATCATCCTCCACAAATGTTAGCCTACATGTGGCTGTACCCTCCCCCTCAAAGTGAAACAGCAGAAGCAAGGGAACAGGAGGGAAGCAAAGGAGGGTTCCCTTGCTTCCATTTCGCCTTGGCGGGGGAAGGGTACAGCAACACAAATGTCTTCATTGAGATGCAAATTTAAACTTGAAACACATTTCTCATGTGTGGATTACTAAGCATTTCAACTGAACGAAATTCCACAATCCTAAAATTAAAGTTTTCCACATACAACGGCTAATCCGTCAGTTATTCGGACAAGTTGACCGAAAACGTACACAATTCATGGTACCACGTTTCATGGTACCATCTCCCTTATAACACCTCACAGTTGTAAAGACATGCAATGCAACGAAAGCACGAACAATGCAAATCCAGAGACGAAACGCACATTTTTTTACGCACATTTTTCAAACATTAACTTAGGAAAGTTTAACAAAATTCCCTAATTGAATGGGCTTCTTCGGAAGAAGTAACCTTGAATTAGCAAAGAAGAAGAGCTTTATGCCAGTTTAATTTCCAGTCGGCGCAAACGTTGCAACCTCAGCACATTTGAAAGGCCTCACGAACGATGGAATCTGATATTTCAAATTTGTATGTTTTCTCACGATAAATTGCTTGAGAACAACCTACACATTTGAAGATACCAAAGGTATCTTTACATCTGGAAGTGGCATCGAACAGGTCCTGAAACGTTAAAAAAATCGTAATTCCTCAATCGAATACCTTTGATAATTGACGCGCATGTAAACTGTTGCTGATTATTGCCACTGGTTTTCACTGCTAAAAGTCTCTAAAAGGGATGACCACAACTTCTCCGGTGAACCAATCCCTTGAAGACATGATTACGAGCTGAAGAAATATTGAACTCAACCCATGATTGACGCAAACGCTCCCTAGCAAGAAGTCGACTCAGTCAAAGATAACCTTTCGGCATTAATTCTGAGAGAAAGTGTTGTTATGGGCGTGCGTAGTTCTAAATTATTTTGGTCACATGATGCGGGCAGTCGCCTGACAACGTCTTCTGGGGGTTAGAGGGGTACGAGTTTTGTAACAAGCTAACCTTTAGATTGCGTGACTTTGGGTGACGAATCATTCGACCTGTTACGTCACCGAGACCACTGAAACATCATTATAATCGGGCTGATTATTGGATTAAAACAAACAAAAACGCGTACACAAAAACGAGAAAATGTAGATATTATTATCAAAAAGTTTATTGTTCTTAAAAAGACACTCATCAACAGCATTAAACCAACACAAGGCCTTTGAATCTCATCCAAGTCTCATGTCTAGTCTCTGGCTATTGCATGAAATCATTAAAATTCAAATTCCTTCATAAGGTCTAATTTGTGATTAGCATGTTGCGATGCTCCATGTAAATTTTATTTGAAGTTGTGAACCATAAATTGACTTTTCTTTGAAATGCTATTTCTTTTATACATCACAAAATGAGACAGGTCTGGTTATTATAATTGAATTGATGCATAAGAAAACATTATTAAGAAAACTGTAGTCATTGTCCATTGAGATTTATAATGTTGCTCTAATGTAAGAATTTTTGGATTAGTTCCAGTTCTTGTTTTCGTGCTTGTGTCACTGCTGGAGGGTCCAGTGGATTGGAAGCTCTGAATATCAAAATTATATACATCAGTAATTAATAAAACTGAACTAGTAATAATTATCAGAAAACATTGTGAAAACCAGCTTGAAGCAGATGCTTTTCTTTTAAACCTACAGAGCAATCTACCAAAGGAGATCAGGAATCACTGATAAAAGTTTATCCTTCAGGTAAAATCTAATAATAAATTAATAATAAATTCCAAAAAGAAACAAATTTAAAAATGAAGGTTGCACACCAGGAAGAATGAAGGAAATCTCCAAATAGGAATTTACCACCCAATGTGCTCCAAGATCTCAGATAAAATTCTCTCAAACATCATCATATGTAGAGACATTGACCTTCTATCAGGAGGTAACTCATAGCTGACAATTTTCTTTATTCTCATTACCTGCCTGACTTAACCTCTATAAGAAAAATGCAAGGAGAATTTTCATATTGATCAATCTGGTCACTGAAAAGGTTAAAACATACCTCAGATCAAGATGGTGAGCTCCACCTTTGACCAGAAGTGCCACCAGTGTTGGTGAGACATCTTCTAATACCTAAAATATAATAAATACATTTTAAATCCAACAACCATCTATGATTCCATCAATAATGGAAGCAACAAGAGCTTTTCAAAAACCATTAACTTACCCCACCAGGTCTCCATGGATCCAGGTCACCATTGGAAAAAATAATATTAGAAGATGAAGATATATCTGAAAAACCATTTAATACCATAAAATGTTTTTTATTCTTGCACTACAATTAGGAATTCTCTGACCATAAAACTAGAATAAGGAAGAGTTCACAATGACTTAAACACTAACTGAGAAACTCAGAAAACTGTGGTCACTGAAATAAGTGTGAAATACTATTGTATCAAGGAAAATAAATCCATCAAGCATGAGAAATTTTCAATACAGACAGGAATCCTAGTTTTAAGATTTGTTTTCAAGTCTCATCTGATTAGTCATTGCACATTCTGGACTTTTTCCAGGTGTTTTAATTTTGACAAAAATTCTGGATCACTTTTAAAATCAAATACTGATATTGCTGCCATTCAGAAAGGAAAATTAAAGGGGTGGATCTATGAGAATGGGATTTGAAACAATTGTGTAACCCAATGCTTAGCATGATAGAGTCAAGATCACAAAGTCAGGTTCAATCAAGCCCTGCTCAGCATCACAATCACATGCTGTGCACAACAATTGATTCACACTCATTCCTTAACCAGGAGTGCTTTTGGGTGGCAGTTGAGCTTACAAAGGAAATCATGTCTGGGAGAGTCAACAGCAATCCTCTAACATCCCATCCAGATGAGGTAGCAAAGCGATTGGTCAATTTTTACCCTGTTTTTAGTGCCTGCCTTAATAAAATTCTTCCTTTTCAATCTAACAAAATCTCTTACTATGTATTTCAATGTCTTAAGGAAACCAACCTTTCCCCCAGAACTGTATGGGTGCCCAGTTAGGTTGAGGTATCACACCCCATTTTTTCTGGCAGTATGTGGATATCATTTCTGGAGTCCATGGCAGAGGTGGAAACATGTCTGTCTTGTTGTTAGAACCAGCTGGAAGAGTGAGCTCAGCACAAGCCTGAAAAGATGAAATATAAATCTTATTTTGACAAATTGAAACAAACAAAATTCTTGAATAGTTCAGTGGACAAGCAAAGCTTGGATTATATGTGCCATTTGTTTCCTGAACATGAGCAGGCAAGAAAGGTTCATTCTTTATAGGAAATGATTCGAGAAGGAAACTTCACATGGAATAATCACTTAAAAAATCTGGTAAGGTCATGTCAGCTCATAAGCCAGCCATTATTTACATGCATATCCAATTATGATTTCATCTGGTTTCTCAGAAAGTACCCTTGCATCCCTGAACAGAAAGAGATCCTGAATAGATGAAGCCTCTTACACAACACAGTGATTCCATCAGAGTTTAAACTGGGAGCTTTAGAGATGGAGCATAGCACACATAATACTTAGCCAATGATCCTAACTAGTTCCTATATCCCATAGAAACTATGGTTAACCCTTTACACCCTAACGTCATTATGCATATTCTCCATACTGTTCTCTATACATTTCCCAGGTTCTAACAAGGAGAATTTGTAAAACCATCATGCGCTTCATTAGTTGCTGATCATTTCCTTTATTCTCCTGGCTTAAACATTTGATTCAAGGGATAGATTGTAAAGAGAAATTAGAACTGTGGATAAGTGGGATATGCAACCCAATACCTGATAGTCCCATGCAAGGCTGTCTGGACCCAGGCCACACCCAGTAGGGTCTGCACATTCAATGTACTCTGTATCTGGATCAAGACAAGTCAGTGTACCATTAGTGCCATTGTAGACTAACGCTGTGACCTCAGCCAGACCTTCAACCTTGGATGATGCACTTGCCATCATTTTACATGCCAAGTTCACAGGATGCCCAGGAAGTTGAGCCAGGAAGTCTGTTGGGTAAGGATAATCACCCATGGCTAGGGTTGTGAAAGAATTGCGAATCCAATGTAACATGTGAGGGATCTAAAATGAAAACAAAAAATAAATAATTGGTGAAACAATATATGGAAGAGGGTCAGAAGGGAAGACATACAGCAAGATTTAGGGAGACAGTTGAGAACCAATAATGAGAATAATGACATAAATTAAAATCAGATGATAATAATACTACCACTACTACTACTAATAATAATAATTATGAAAATAATACTACTACTAACTACTATTACTACTAATGATAATAAACAGCAACAATAACAACAATACTGGAATTCAGCAAAGGCACATCTACAAGGAAGCCCTAAATTCTACGTTTTTCAGGTAAATTTTTTCACAAAAATCAAGCACAAACTCAAGCCACACGCTCAAACTCACAAAATCAAGCCATGTGTGACACCAGACTGAGAGATATCAGGAGGAAATGGAAGAGTAACTGGGTGAGAGAGGGAGAGAAACATAACCAAAGTGTCAGGAGTAAAGTTGCACTAGTCTAGGAGCATGACCAAGTTGATTGATTGTAATCTTCACTGGTACACTCCAAGGGTCAGAGAGACCTAAGACTTTACCCTAACAACATCAGCAGGAACAGAAGAATACAAAATCCTGAAGTGTGGATGCCCATTATAAAAAAACAAACAAACAAACAAACAAAAAAACACTACAACTGGAGAGCCATATGACGGCAGACTACCAAGGGAACAACTCACTAACATCAAGGATTGAAATGCGCCAATCACAGCGGTGGAAAAAAACAACCAATTACAGCGGTGCATCCTGCTTTATAAAAAGACCCTAATCCAGTCAACCTTATCACCTGATGAAGACTAGCAGTATGCAGTCAAAACATCCTGATTTACATCATAAGTGATCACATTGAGAGACAAACAATAATACTTTATTATTATAGCAATGATGTAGTAAATAGGCTAACAGATAGTTACAATGTAATAATAAAATCCTACTTCCTATGACAAGTGTTATCATAGTTTTTGAGTGAAGACCAAATAATACTTACCTGTTCTGTTGACTTAAGTGGTTTGCAGAGTTTAAATATTTTTGAGAGTTCAGCAAGTCCTATAAAATGAAGAAAGAATTTCAAATAAATTCAAACTGAAATAGAACTCCACACCAGTTTCACTCCAAGTATAGAACATCATGAACTGTCATTTGTACATGATATAAAGTAGGATGTAACCAGCCCCTTGTCATATTTACCCATATAAATGACAGTCACTCACTCAGACAGCTTGTTCAAAAGGAGTCTGATTCACTTACTTAATATATTCCTTAATACTAACCCTTTACACCCTAACATCAGTAAGAATATTCTCCATACTGTTCTCTATACATTTCCTGAAGCACTGACAAGGAGAATTTGTTGAAAAATCAAGAGCTTTATATGTAGGTGGTCATTTCCTTGATTCCTGTGACCTTAATGTTTGATTCAGGGATGATATAATTGTCAGGAGAAATTAGAAGCTGATCACTCTTAGGGGTTAAAAGGTTAAGGAAAAGAGGATGACACAGTAATGAGGCAATTTCCTCCTGCAATAATGCAGCACACTCATCCCTCACAATGGGAGTATTACCTGTTCCCCAGTCCCTTACCTAATACCAACATTCCATGTTTTCAACTTAAATGCAGCAAAAGATGTAAACCCCTTAATTTTCATGATTTCTCCCTTGGAGTTCCTACTCATTTTCTTTTAAATTGTTAAGAGAGTATAACATTAGGATAACACATTTGATATAACCTATTTTCTGGTTTTTACATTGTACATTAGATTTTG